GGGATTTTCTTGGCAAAGATACTAGGGTGGTTTGTCATTTCCTTCTCCAGCTCATTTTACAAATAAGAAATTAAGGCATACAAGGTTAAATGACTTGTGCAGGGTCACACAGCTAATAAGTATCTATGACTGGATTTGAACTCAGGTCCTCTTGCTCCAGGTTCCACATTCCATCCACTATACCATCTAGCTGCCTGACATGAAATATGAAATCCAGTAGACCGGAAAGATGAACAGCTCTTGTTGTGAGAGAATTCAGCAGGTATAACATCCAAATAGCAGCTCTGAGTGAAACAAGGTTGGCAAATGAAGGCCAGCTTACTGAAGTCAGAGCTAGATACATGTTTTTTCTGGAATGGCTGCAGTGAAGGGGAGCACTGTGGAGCTGGCACAGACTTTGCAATCAAAACTCACCCAGTCAACAAGCTTGTATGCCTACCAAAAGGAGTCATGATAATGTGACTGTCATTTGGAGGAAAGTGCCACACCACCATCATCTCTGTGTATGCTCCCACCGTGACAAATTCTGATGAGGTCAAAGAAAAATTTTATGAAGACCTGGAGACTTTTATCATCAATGTTCCAAAAGAGGGTAAGCTTACAATTCTGAGTGACTTTAATGCAACCGTAGGCACAGACTCCCAGACATGGCAGGGAGTACTTGAAAGGAATGGAGTTGGAAACAGCAACAGCAGTGGCCATTTACAATAGAAGATGTGCATCTCATAATTTTCTTATCACCAACACTGTCTTTTGTTACCTAAATGCAATAAAACTTCATGGATGCACCCTCACATCCAATGTGGTCATTTAACAGACCATGTTATTGTAAGGAGAAGAGACAAACAAGATGTGAGAGTGATGAAGGCAGTGTGTGGCACAGAGTGCCGGACTGATCATAGACTTATCTTCTCCAAGGTAAATATTCACATTCAATAAAAGCAGCGGCCCCAAGGCAAGATGATTACCAGAAGACAATGTCAACAGATTAGAGTGCTTTTCCAAGTAGGAACAGTTCCTTGCTAAGGTGGAGGGAAAGCTGAGCCAACACACACTTGGCAACAGTGGAGCAGAAAAAGAGTGGGCAGCTTTCAGAGATTTTGTGTATAGCACCACATTTATGTATCTAGGCCGGAACACTTGCAAATATCAAGACTGGTTTGATGAAAATGCTGGGAAAATTCAGAAGCTGCTAAATGAAAAATGAGAAGTCCACAGGGTTTATAAGAAGGATAGTTCATCAATTTCTGAGAAGACAGCATTTAACTCTATTAAAAGTAAAGTGCAAGTGAAGTTTAGAGAGAAATACAAGATTGTTGGTTCAGTAAGAAGACAGACGTAATTCAGTTTTATTCTGACAGTAACAATCAAAACACTTTTATGATGCCTTGAAGGCTCTGTACGGGCCAAAGACCTATGGTGCATCTCAGCTCCTCAGTGCTGATGAAGCAACATTGAATAGTGATAACGATGTGGTCCTGGAGAGATGGGCTGAACACTTGCACATTGTTTTCAACAGACCATTATCAATCAATACTAAAACCAGTGACCATTTACCTCAGGTTGAAGTCAGTACCTCTCTAACAGAACTTCCAACTGAAGAAAGGTTTTGAATGCCACTAGGCTCCTCTTGTGTGGCAAAGTGCCTATTGCTAATTCTATTTCAGCTGATATTTACAAGGCAAGGGGTCCACTGCTCAAACAAAAGCCGATAAAAATTTTCTGGGTTATATGGGCAAGAGGAGATCATCCCCTATCAGTTCAAGTATGCCTCCATTATCCATCTCTATAAAGGTAAAGGAAATAGATTATCCTATGACAATCACAAGGGGATCTTTCTATTAGTCACTGCAGGAAAGATTTTTGCCAGAGTCTTCCTTTATAGTCTAAACCCTCACCGGAAAGATGATCTCGTACCTGAGAGCCAGCATGGATTTAGAAATAGCTGAGCAATAGTTGATATAATATTTGTTGCCTGACAACTCCAAGAGAAATGCCAGGAGCAGAACAGACATCTGAACACAATGTTCATCGATTTGACCAAGGCCTTTGATACTGTCAGTCATGAGGGCTTGTGGAAAATCATGGCAAAATTTGGTTGCCTGGAGAAGTTCATCAGTATAGTATACCAGTTTCATGGTGGAATGCTTGCATAGGTTCTGAATAATAGACAATGCTCCCAGTCACCAATGGGGTGAAGCAGGGCTATGTGCTTGCTCCAGTGCTTTTTAACCTGATGTTTTCAGTGATGTTGACAGACACCTTCAATGAGGGTGAAGGTCAGCTACCTGACGGTAGATTTTTTAAGTGATGGTAAATTATTTAACTTGAAAAGGCTACAAGCATAGACTAAAGCAGATGGAGAGTTGGTGCATGATTTTTTTTTTTGTTTGCCAATGATTGTGCACTCAATGCAACCTCTGAGACTGAAATACAACAAAGTATGGATTGATTCTCTGCTGCTTATGTTAATTTTGGCCTAACAATTAATACAAAAAAACCCAAAAAACACAGGTTCTCCACTAGCCAGCACCACACCATCCACACATGGAACCATTGGTTACAGCAAATGGAGAAATATTGAATGCTGTGGATAACCACGTACATTGGCAGTATACTTTCCAGGGATGTACATATGAGGTTAATGAGATTAATGCATGCATCATCAGAGCTAGCTCAGTTTTTGGGAGGCTTCAAAGGAAAGTGTGGGAGAGAAGAGGTATTAGACTGCCTACCAAACTGAAGATCTACAGAGCCATTGTGCTGACCTCATTGTTTGTTTCTGAAACCTGGACAATATACTAGTGACATTCCAGGAAACTGAATCACTTCCATTTATATTGTTTAAGGAAGATTCTGAAGATCGCCTGGCAAGAAAAGGTACCAAACACTGAGGTCCTTTCTTGAGCTAAACTGCTAAGCATTCGAACTCTACTGCAGAGAGTGCAACTCTGATGGGCTGGCTACACTGTTCAAATGCTAAAAGTATGCTTTCCTAAAAGACCATTTTACAGAGAACACACACAAGGCAAGCACTCACATGGAGGCCAAAAGAAGTGATACAAGGACACTTTCAAAGTCTCTTTGAAGAACTTTGGAATTGATTGTGAGACATGGGAGACATTGGCCCAACATGGTATTCCCACATCAAAGAAGGTGCTGTGCTCTATGAGTAAAACAGAATTGTAGTAACTCAAAAGAAGTGGGAAATGCACAAATTTAGAGACATCTCTATTCTGAATGTTCATATAGACTATTTGTGTCCAACCTGTGGTAGAGTCTTTCGAGTTTGTATTTGTCTGAGCAGCCACAGTTGGACACAATGCACCCTGACTCCAATATGATGTCATTTGAAACCTCTTCAAGAGTGAAGGACAACAACCAACCAATTGAGAAGCCACATAGTTCAGTTCCCTCATTTTGTCTGAAGCTCCAAGGTGAATCTTGATCCATATCCTGCTACCTCTAAAATTACTATTGTCCTGATTGGTCAATTGCCTTGAATGTACACACGACAGCACCTGCTTTAAGAATGTATTAATCCAAAAGTCCTGGACTACATTTTGTGAAAATACCTTGAAAACAATTGGCTAAAGACGGCAAATAGAGCACTGGTCTTGGAGTCAGTACTCCAACTTAGTGCCTACCTTTGTAATTGTGTTGCTTCCCTGAGGATCAGCTTCTCAATGAAAAAATTCAAATGCTAAGACTTTGGGAGGTTATTTTGAGTTAATTTGTTTTATAATTAATATAGCTAATATAATTAGTATATTTAATATAATATTATATAATTACATATTTATATAATAATTATACATTAATTTTATATTATTTCAATACCTAATATACAGCATATATAATACAATATATTAATATATTATAGTATTAATCAATATATTTATATGACAATTATATATTAATAATATATAATTAATATAGTTGATATAATTAATAAGTTAATTAATTGAGTTAATTTGTTTTATAATTCTTTAATATACTTACCTTGTAGCATCTGTGGTTTCCTGCCACCCAGACTTACCCATTACACTGTAAGTTACTTAAGAGCACAAACATATATATATGTATATATGCATGTATACACGTATATATGTATGTGTATATGTGTGTATATATATATAAACTTTGTATCTCCTCAACAGTATGGGCTAAGCACATAGTAGGTACTAAATAAAATAAAATTGTGAACTAGTAAGAGGCAGACAACTGAGCATGTTAGCTGACAGATGTCCACTTCGTTCATCTTGTACATAGAATGACTGATGTGTCTCAAGAAACTAGGAAATTTGTTATTCTATTTGAGAGCTAGAACTACGAAAAATATTTGTTCTTTAGTGTCAAATCGATTCAGCTTTATTTTTCATCTTCCCCTCTAGTAGGAAGACTTGTTGCTGATAGATCATGAGATTTTTAGAGCTAACAAGGGCTTTTGAAATCATCTACTCCAAACACCTCATTTTGTGTATAAGGAAATGAAGAGTCAGTCAGGTGCCCCAAGGTCACCAGCTAGTTAGTGGCAGGGTTGGGACCCACATTTCCCAATTCCAATGCCTGTGCTCTTTTTGAAATGGTATTTTTACATTGTATCTTACTATTTTCCATTTCTCATTTAAATATGTCTTCCTTTTCTGTTATAGTATCTGAGATACATTTTAGTGTTCAGCTTAAAGAAGGATCAATGGGAAAAGACTGGCAGAACATAATCTGTCCATTGCTATAATGTTCTATATAGTGAGCAGAAGTTGACTGGACATGCCAGCTGTTTATTGCTCATTGTCACCCCTAAAGTCATTTAGCTTTACCAAAGCAAAATCTTAGGAGAGGCAACAATTCACAGTCAATCTCCAAAGGCCTCCCTGGAGTTGTAACAACACCGTTCCAACAATTTGATGTCCTTGGGCTCCCATGTGACAAAGGAAGCAACTAGCTTGATGGTGCATCTGCTCTGCTACTAATGTTCTCTTTTGTCATTGTTCCCACAGCAAAAATCTGCAACACCTCTGCCAGTGACAGGGTTCTTCTCTCAGATGATGAATGGCGGGTGTTGGTGCTGACAGGAAATACAGGGACTCGAGCCAATGTCACCCTCTGGGTGTATGGAGACAGAGGAGTTACTGGACCACTACCTCTTGGCAAGGACAATAGGGAGCAGCTGTTCCTTCCAAGAAAGGAGGATGAATTTCAGGTAGAGAGTAAAGGCTGGCCCTGGCATTAATCTATGTGCCATCTTAAAATATACTTCTGTCATGTGGGAGGGGAACTTTTAATTTTTTGTGTTTGTTATTTGCATAGCACAAACCTTCCATGTTTCAGGATTCCTCTACAAATTACCATATGTCTACTGTAAGCAGTTGAGGAAAGACTACTCCTTCTATGATCCCCAGCAGGCACACACTTGTGTACACACACATACACACACACACCTCTTACCCAATTTAGGGAAAATGTTGGAGAAAATCTCTTTTCTTAAAGAAAGTAATTTTAGGATTGAAATTGACCTCATAAACCATCATTTTGAACAAAACTCAGCTGGACAGTGGCTAGAGCAGGGCTTCTTAACCTTTTTTTTGCATGTCGTAGGTCCCTTTGGCAGTTTGATGAAGCCTATGAACCCATTCTCAAAATAATAATTTCTGGATAAGTAAAATTAAATACATGGGATTACAAGGAAATCAATTATGAAAATAGATATTAAAATATATTTTCAAAAAAGTTCATAGGTTCCAGGTTAAGAATCACTGGTCTAGGGAATCTTCTGGTGACAAAAAACTCATCTTGTATTTTGTTCTTTCACATGAAATATGATTGCCAACCAGAAGTTGTTTAGCTGCATCTTTCTCCATAGGATTGTGACCTTGGGGGTCAATACGATTTCCTTCGTGTCTTGGCTTGGTGGTGGGCATCACCAACTTGATTCACCATTTGACTGTGGCTGGTACCTCTCCTAGTCCTTGGCTGTTAAGTTGGTCAGTGAGTCAGTTAATAAGCATTTATTAAGGGCCTACCAGGTGTTAAGCTAAGTACTGGGGATACAAAGAAAGGCAAAAGACAGTCCCTGATCTCAAGTAGAGTGACTACACTTAATGTCAGCCCTTGTTTGCTCTCTAAAGTACTTTGGTGCACTGATAAAAAATAGATTTCCCCTTAAAATTGTTCTTTCCTTTCAATTTAGCATATATTTAGGTAGTATCTGACCTATTGTAACAGAGAACATTCAAAAGAGTTCTCATCTTGGAGTCCCAAGACCTTTGTTCTAATGTTAGCTTTGTTATTTTCTACCTGTATGAACTTGGCCAAATCATTTATTTTCTCTGACCTTTGGTTTCCTTATTTGTAGAATAAGAAAATTCGATCAGATGATCTCCAAGTTTCCTTCCAGCTCAAAATAGATAGTACTATGTTCCTATGCTCCTTCCAGCTTTAGAACAATAATCTCATGATCTTACACCGTGAGCTCAGTGCCTGCTGTGTGTGCAGAGCACTGTGATAGGTGCTGGAGCAGATACAAAGTTTAGATGAGACCTAGTCCCTGCCCCCACAGAGCTTACAATCTGTCAGGGAGAAATGACAATCACTGAAACAACAGTAATACAAACAAACCCTCACCCCCACAATGATAAGTGCATGGGGCTATGTGTGTGGAGGAATAAAGATTTCTCTGGTATCTAAAGGACCTTCTTAGAACATTCTAAGACTGAATAGAGACTAATTTACATCCACAAAAATCTGCAAGAGGCAGATGAATTTTTGAGTCACAGTATCTGGCTGTTGCTTAGAACTACATACTACATTTTTTGTTATTCATTCATTTCAGTCATGTCCCCATTCACTCTTCATGACCCCATTTGGGGTTTTCTTGGCAAAGATACAGGAGTGGTTTGCTATTTCCTTCTCCAGCTCATTTTTCAGATGAAGAACTGAGGTAAACATGGTAAAGTGACTTGCCTAGGGTCACATAGCTTGTAAGTGTCTGAGGTCAAATTTGAACTCAATAAAGAAGAGTCATCCTGCTTCCAGGCTCAGCAGTTTATCCACTGTGCCACCTAGCTACCCCTAAGCTACATTTTAGGTAAATATTTTTTAGCCTAAATCTTAGAGAAGAGATTCTCTGAATCTCAGCAATAGCTGTTTGCAGTTGTAAAGGAACAGTTTGTCCTAGCATGATCAGTTTCTTGAGGGCAGGTACGGTGTATTTGCCTTTCTTTAAATGCCTGGTGCTTAACAGAATGTCTTTTGTGTCTAGTGATCATGCAATAAATGCTTTCTGGCTGATTGACTAGAAGCCAAGGTGCCTAGAAAATAAACAGGACACTTGAGTTTTAACATGAATTTTTCTGCTGACTTTCAGCGTAACTTGGGGTTGCCCTTTTGTTTTGGAATTTGTCCCTTCACTTTATTAGAAAGGGGAGAACAATTCTAGTGTATTTTGTATTTTAAAGAGGTAATCTGAAGATAGTGATACTTTATGAGTATCTGCTCCATGAGACAGAAGGATAGGCTCACTGAAACCTTAAGGATCAGAAAAATCTTTGAAGGTTTAGGTGGATGGAGAGTGAATAATAGCTGCATTACTTCCACTGAGCAAGAGCAGAAATCAAAGTGCGTGTATTTTATGGGTATATTGTTGCTGTCTGAGTTTTGCTCAAATATCTCCTGGCCTGCAATTCCGGGAAATTCAAAAGGATGAAGGCCGTAGGGAGTTGAGCGAAGGTTTACTTCAAATCAGCAAATATTTATTGATTATGTCCATGGCACTGTGCTGGGTGGAGGGCATACAAAGACTAAAAAGAAACAATCCATGCCACCAGAAAGCTTCCATTCCAGTGGAATCTAGACCCCATCCGCTTTCATTCCTCTCTATTCCACTAGATGAATTATAGCAAAGATTTATTTTAGTTACTGCCCTCCTTGTAGAAAACACTTTGCTGAGGTTTTCTTTGATAAAAGCTCCTCTCTACTCTACCCTCCCTCTCATTCTCTTAAGAGCCTATATTTTTATTACCAGATCTCAGTCTACCAAAAAGGAGGATTCCTAGAAAGAGGTGTGGTGTGCAGAGAATTCAGAACAATTCTCCTGAATCCTGTTCTTTCATCTGACTACATCTGTCGTATTTTAGTTGAATCATGTAATATTTCTGCCTTATATTACCTATCTGTGAGGCTCCAGTGATAGCATCTTATGGAGGGGTTAATCCTCAGATGCTGATACTGACTTAGAGAGCTCTTTAACTGCCGAGAGCTGCAAAATGCTTTTAATGGGAAAAAACATGCAACAAATTCGTCATAGGTATGATCTAAAATTTGAGGATGACTTTTTTTTCAATTTTTAATTTCATTCAGGTTCAAATAAAGAACGTTGGCAAAATATACAAGATCAGAATAGGACATGATGGAACTAGTCAACAGCCTGAATGGAGTTTACAAATGGTAACAAATATTTTTTTTTGGTTGGTCTTTGACTAAAAGGGATAAACCTACTGTACTTAAAACTTAAAACAATGTGCAACATGTTAATTCTCTAAGTAATTTTAGATATTAATACATAAAAATTTATTACAGAAAACAAGATTGTTCTGTTACCGTGTTTTAAAGGCTTTAAAGAAATAAATGTGGCAATTATATCCTCCGAATCAATATTGAGGATACAATGAAAACATCTACCTAGCCGGCAGCTTCAATTATTGCCCAGTTAGCAACTGAAGTACAGTTTTTAGAGCAAGAGGATTAGGGATTTTTAGAAAGAACTGTAAAAATTTTAGAAACTGTATATATCCTTATTTAGTGGAAGAAATATGCCCTGCTCACCTTCCGTATTATTACTCTTTCAGAGATTTATATTCTGGACAAGTTGTTTTTCTCCCTCTGACATGTAGACATACACCTCAACTCAAGTACACTCTACCATTTTGACAAATTATACCTGACTTGCTAAGACAGATTGTATTGCTGACTATTGCCACAGGAATTCAGCTATGAATGAAAATGTAAACATATATAGCTTTGGGAATCACATACTGGATAATTCTCATTTTTTAATAGCATCTGTTCCTCTGAAGGAATAATAATAAGGTAAGAATAAGAAATCAGCATTCTTTATTACACATTTGACGTACCTTTCAGTCTCAGTTATTTAGCATTTGATCACCCAGTTTGCATGTTATTCAGACCTTTTGCTTTCTCTCTAAAGCTCAATTCAACTTTACTGCTTGTTAGCAAACCCACTGGAGAACAGGCAGAGGCAAAAAGAAATCCAAATGAACAATTTTGCTTCTTGTTTCTAGAGGAAATATCCCTTAGAAAACAAACAAATAAACAACCTAAACAAACTGAAATCTTGGTTTGCAATGCGTTGTTCATTAATAGAATGCAACATATTATCAATTAAGCAATATACAAGTGAAGTGGTACACAGGATGGCATGAGAGCTTTAGGAAGAGAAAACACAGTATCTAAGCATTATCTAGAGAATCATAGGAGACTCCCTAGAATGTTGGGTGGATAACCCCTGTCATCAGTTTTTCAACAAATACTTATTCTGCACTTATTATTTACCAGGCCCTATGCTAAGTGTTTAGTATACAAAGCAAAAACAGGTTCTCTGTCCTTAAGGAGTTTACATTATAATTCCTTGGAAGTGGGGCAGCTGGGAAATGAGAAAAGCATTTGAGTAGGAGTGTACATGAGGAGAGGGCATGGATAGGTTGTAATATTTATCAGTGGACAGAGCATCCACATTGGTGAGATAGTGAGTCATAGAAGTAACAGGAATTCAGTTAGGATTCATTATTTTATTAATGATCATACATGATCTAAGGAACTGTGTCCTTGGATTTGCTCGACTTATAAAGTCAGTGTGCATTAAGTTCAACGGTTAAGAAGAGAATCAAGGCAGCTAGGTGGCGCAGTGGATAGAGCACCGGCGCTGGATTTAGGAGGACCGGAGATCAAATCCGACCTCAGACACATAACACTAGCTGTGTGACCCTGGGCAAGTCACTTAACCCCATTGCCTAGCCAAAAAAAAAAAAGGAAAAAAAAGAAGAGAACCAAAAACTAATAATAAAAATATTGAAGGAATTAACTCAGCTTTGAAACTAGAAGTGTTAAGATGCTTCAAGATGTGTGAAAAACTTGGACAAATTGTTAATCTTTAGGAATTGTTATTTTTATGGTAGAAAGAATGTGTAAGATTGATGATTGTACTGCCACACTTTTCTGAGCTATATTGTTCCATATTTGAATTTTGTCCCTTATTTTCAGAATAGCCAAGTGTAGCATTCTTGTCAACTCTTCAAAGTGTTGAAATTGTAATATCGCTCTATCAAAAAGATACAATTTTCCCTTTAAAATGTTTTCTTCATTCTTGTGATCTGCATCTTCAATCAACCTTTTTCCAGATATATATGCATATAATTATAAATATGTGTGTATATATAGATACGTAAATATACACATGTACATACATACACACTATATATACATACACACATATTATATATAACATAGATATAGATGGATATGATTTCATGATGGAAGCCAATAGGGAAAGTGTATTTGTTTTTGCAAATATCTAGTTTACAGCAGTAGTTTTTGGAACATGTACATTTCATTAAGCATTACTCACCTTTAAGTCTCAGAGAAGGTTTAACAGGGGAAGATGTTTCAATCAAACAAAAAAATATTTGTTGAGCATCTATTAGGTTTCCTGTCCTGTGCTAAGTATTCTGGGAGATTTTAAAGAAACCAATCTGTAGCTATTTTAAAGTGTTTTTTTTTTAAATTCAAATGTGTTTTCAGATTTTTAGAGGAAGAAAGATAATTGATGTTCCTTTAAACAGCAAGTGGAAAAACTGCTGGAAATTGCAGATAATAAGCAAATGTGAGACAGTAGAATATTGGAATCAGCTTAACTTGGATTCAAATCCCACCCATAGAAATGATCAAGTGTACTACTTTTGCCAAGACATTTAGCATATATAATTTGTAGTTGCTTCATCTCTAAAATGGATTCACTAATTACACAAATCTCACAAGATTTATTACAATGCCTGGCACAATAAATTTACTTAATAAATGCTTATTTCATTTCATTCCACATGGTTGTTGTAAAGATCAAATGAGATGTTATACGTAGTTTGTAAACCTATGTAATCATAGTAATGCAAAGTTTTAAGGCAATCTTTATAGAAATAAGAAGTTAACAAATAAATATAGTTCTAGGGTAAGAAAGCATCCAGAAGAATTTCGAAAAGTCATATAGCATTATGATTTTTATGTCCATAGTCTTCCTCTCTTCTCTACCATTCGTGAGCGGGAGAGCAGGACAGTATAGTGGAAAGTGCACTTGCCTTGGAATCAGAACACTTGGCTTCGATATCTGGCTCTTCCACTTACTAGTTATGTATACTTGGGTGAATCACTTTAACTCTGTTGAGTGTCAGCTTTCTTATTTGCAACAATGAAAACATGAAAACATTGGATTGATGACTATCTCCATGGTTTCTACCAGCTGTTAACATTCTATAATTTTGTTTCACACACACACACACACACACACACACACACACACACACACACATAACTGAGGCCCATGTTCACTGACTACATGTTGGCCTCAGATGGGAAGGTTGTAAGGCCCTTAAAACATTGTCTCTCTTCTCTCCCTGGAACACTAACAGGCAGGAAGAAGTCAGCAAAAGAGAAGTCAAATTGAGAGAAACAACTAGGTTAATTAGAGTCTTGTGAATATACTAACCATTCTGGCTACAAAGCCTCATCCGAGAAAGAGGTTTTTCTTTATGATGATATGTAAGCAGACCAGAGCCAGTTACAGAATTTCTGTACATGTTCCCAATTCTCTCCAAGGATTTCCATTACAAATTGTTATGGCTACCCTAGAAACTGCCTCTTTTATGTGGGGAATTCCATCAGTGGCACACTATTATATTGGTAGGACTAGGCTCAGTGGCCAGTTTTCTGTTAAGTACATATATATATATATAAAACTATATGTATATATGTATATGTATATATACACATATGTGTGTGTATATATATATTGACACATATATTTAATGATTTCATATCTGTACTTTTATATTTTATATGTACTTATTGTTTACATAATGTGGAGGTTATGATTGCCCAGTCTGCAAGGAAAACTATTGAAGCAGAGCTCTGAGCCAATCGCACTTTGTTAAAGTGTCCACCATCTTCTCTAATGAAGTGGACCCCAGACCTTCTTCGTGGTCTGAGATGCCCTCTTCTTCCAGGGCCTTATTTTTATAAGGCTTGCTACTAGATTTGATACTTGAACATGCTAGAAGGGCTACAAAAAATATAGAATCCCATTGGTTGATAGACCTTGCTTTGAGGGCCAAAAATGATGCATCAGCCAAAAAAATGGTATATTAGCAGGGGGGTCTCAGGTGGGGCAAAGCATGGGGCATTTCTACTGACTAAGTGGTTATAAGATGGTCATAAGATGATCACCTGCTAATATTAGACAAGAAGAAGTGTTCTGAAGGTACAAAAATAAGTTGGAGGACTTACCATGTCACCTCTGTCATGCTGGGCTTAGTCACCACAACAAGGAAAAACAGGGGTGGAGGGCCTCTGGGTAGCTTCCTATGATTAAGCAAGTGAAGTTACAATCTGCAGTTCACAGCTCTGGAGTTTAATACACAGAACTTCTAATCACTACCCCTATCTAATCCCATTAAACTGATTAATTTGAATAGGGTTCCTAATGAATCACACCTCACACTCATTAGAATATAAACTCTTTGTGAGTAGATATTGTTTTACTCTTTATGCTTGTATCCGCAAAGTCTAGCATAGTACCCAGCACACAGTAGATGTTTAATATATAATTGTTGATTTATTGATTGTAGTGCCCCAACTTCTATATTAAGATTTTTAGAATGTGTTCTAGAATTAAAACCACTGCTTGCTACCCCCAAGTTGATCTGAATTTTTCCAATAAACCAAAATTGAACATTTTGTTGTTCAGTCATTTTTTCAGTTGTGTCTGATTCTCTGTGACCCAATTTGGGGTTTTCTGTGCAAAGATACTGGATTGGTTTGTCATTTCCTTCTCCAGGTCATTTTCCAGGTGAGGAAACTGAGGCAAACAGGATTAAGTGATTTACCCAGGGTCACTGAGGTTGTAAGTGTTTGAGTCCAGATTTGAACTCAGAAAAATAAGTCTTCCTGATTCTAGGTCCAGCACTCTATTCATTATACCACCTCGCTGCCCCTAGAATGTGTTCTAGAATCAGAGCCATTGCTCTCTACCCCCATTTTCATCTGAATTTTCCCAACAAGCCAAAATTAAACATATGACATCATATTAAGGCAAAGGAACATTTAATTAAAATAGTGTAAGATAATTAACAATGTATTGAACTAAGCAGTAGTTACTCTAT